ACAAAGTGGATAATTGAAACAACTATGTGTTAGATCATTACAAGCAGCTGCCTGATGAAATCTTTTTTTTTTAATTGTGCTTTAGGTGAAGGTTTACAGAACAAATAGTTTCTCATTAAACAGTTAGTACATATATTGTTTTATGACAATGGTTAACCACCCCACGACATGTCAACAACTCTCCCTTCTCGACCTTGGGGTCCCTATTAACCAGGTTTCTGTCCCCTGCTGCCTTCTAGTCCTTGTGCCTGGACTGTTGTGCCCCATTAGTGCTGTTTTGTTCTATGGGGCTGTCTAACCTTTGGCTGAAGGATGAACCTTGGGACCGACTTCATTACTGAGCTAAAAAGGTGTCCAGGGGCCATACTCTTGGGGTTTCTCCAGTTTCTGTCAGGCCAGTAAATCTGGTCTTTTTTTGTGAGTTAGAAGTTTGTTCTACATTTTTCCCCAGCTCTGTCTGGGACCCTCTGTCATGATCCTGGTCAGAGCAGTCAGTGGTGGTAGTCGGGCACCATCTAGTTGTACTGGACTCCGTCTTGTGGAGGCCGTGGTAGTTGTGGTCTGTTAGTCCTTTGGACTAATCTTTTCCTTGTATCTTGTTTTCTTCATTCTCCCTTGTTCCTAAAGGGGTGAGACCTTTGGAGTATCTTAGATGGCTGCTCACAGGCTTTTAAGATCCCAGATGCTACTCACCAAGGTAGAATGAATTTATTTTATTTTTTGTTGTTATTGAGAATATACACAGCAGAACATGTGCCAACTCAACAATTTCTACATGTACTATTTAGTGACATTCATTCAAGTGACATTCTTCAAGTTGTGCAATCATTCTCACCCTCCTTTTCTGAGTTGTTCCTCCCCCATTAATATAAATTCACTGCCTCCTAAGGTTCCTATCTAATCTTGCAAGTTGCTGTTGTCAGTTCGATCCCATATAGATAGTTCTTAAAAGAGAACAGTGCTCAAGGCAGACATTCTTTACTAGGTAAGCTAAACTAGTGTTTGATGTAAAGAAGACTTCAGGGTATATTTCTGGTTTAAGATTTAAAGGTTATCTGAGGACAATAGATTCAAGGGTTCATTCAGCCTCCATAGCTCCAGAAAGTCCAGATTCCATAAGAATTTCAAATTCTGTTCTGCAGTTTCCCCTTTTTGATCAGGATTCTTCTATAGAATCTTTGATCAAAACGTTCAGTAATGATAGCCACTCCTCGGTCTTTCTTAAGCTCAGTGTTTCCTTCTATTACACCCTTATATCCTCAATCCACTTATTCTGGTCTCTCAATAAAAGCACTTATTTTTCATATGTTGACTCTTCATAGACTATCCTTCATGTCTAAAATCTTTCAGCCACCGCAAGCCTTTTGGAAACCAGATGTCTATTTTCATATTGTATCTTTGTGTCTTAGGATGTTCACAGAGGACCAGAACACAGAGGGAGAGACTAAGAAGACCAGTTTCTCCTTGACCTCCTTTTCATGCTCTTCAAAAAAAATAAGGTGGAGACCGCAAGTACAATAAAGAAGACTTTCCCGTTTCTTACGGGCCTCCGAGACTGTGGCTTCCTCTCTGAGCAGATGTATGAAGTTAATGAGGAGATGTCCTCATAATGGGAAATCAGTCCCACCATAGCATGTGAGACTTCAGGGGGCAATGACCTGGTTGAAGGGCCTCCTGTAAGTGGAGACCTTCATCAACCTGTAAGTTAGAAGGTCAGGAAGAGCAGGCATCACAGAAAACATTCTTTCTTCTAACTGAAGAAACTGTCTTCTGTAGTTAATGTGAGTGAAGAGGGATAGTGATGGAGGTGTGGCAGGACTGGAATCAGAAATGCTTCACAGATGTAGAGCAACTTCCAAAACCCATTGCTGTCAAATCAATTCTGATTCAACAACCCTGTAGGATAGAGTAGAACTGCCTCATACGGTTTCCAGTGAGCAGCTGGTGGATTCGAACTGCCGACCTTTTGGTTAGCAGCCGTAGTTCTTGACCACTATGCCACCAGGGCTCTAGAGCATCTTAGGTACATTTATAAACCCATTGTCATCGAGTGATTCTGACTCATAGGTACATTTATGAAATATAATAATAGAAACTAAAATGAAAATAAATGAGTTGGGTAGCATTTCATTTCAAAGTGCACGTAGTTCAAACACTTGGCTCTGAGATGATGAAACTCAAAGGGAAGTTGAGCAGCTTAGTACAAATTTGAAAGCAGATGATTGCTATTCTCTCTCCAAATTATTTCCTGTTCTTCAGACATTTCTGGAACCCTAGATGAGGGCAGTGGTAGAATATTCCCCTACCATGTGGGAGACTTGGGTTGGCTTCCTGGCCAATGCACCTCCAGGGTAGCCACCATCCGTCTGTCGGTAGAGGCTTGCGTGTTACTATGATGCCGAACAGGTTTCAGTGGGACTTGCAGACTAAGACAGAGTAGGAAGAAAGGCCTGGTGATCTACTTCCAAAATTAAGCCAATGAAAATTCTATAGATCACAGTAGTCTGATCCTGTTGTGCATGGGGTCACCATGAATCAGGGGCCGACTCAATGGCAGCTAAACAACAGAATGCAGGTAAAGGTTAGCAGTGGGTCTTCCTGGGGATACCGAGGATGAGCCTACTCTACCCTGTGAATTTTCTTTGTTCTGTAGCCAAGTTCACAGCACGGGAGGTGGTTACCTGGCTTCCCAGAGTCCTTCAGGCCAGGTCAATCCCGGGGGTTATTGTCTAGTCAACAGAACAGTCTCTCATTACTTGTTAGGGTCACTCCTGAATCATCGTGGCCAGGCTCTTCAAGGACCACATAACATTCAACTTTGAACCCATTTTATTCATCAGAGTGACTCTCTTCCCTTGAATGTGATCAGTGTCAGGAAGTTAGGTTCGCAAAGTAAGAGTCTATTTTTATGGTGGAGGACATTTAAGAAGTCATCCAAATGCCTGCATAATTCTTAAAATTTCACAAGAGAACAAATGGTCTCTCTGCGACCTAAGAATCTTCTATAACATAAGAATAAATCCATAACTACATAATTCTCCATTCAATATTTTTAAGCGTTTTCTAGACACTTGTGGAAACCTGGTCCCAGTGGAAAGAGTGGCGTACGATGTCCTCACTGAACTGGAGAAGACGTTTAGCCTGCCACTTCTGGAAGCCTTGTTCAGCAGGGCGAACCTGAAGGCCTGTCCTGATTTAACTGAGGTTTACCAAAGCTTCCAAAATGGTAATTATACTTCTCAACTACTTTTGGGGATTCAAGTCCATTTCATTCACTAATGCGTTCATGCAGTCTTCAATAATATCTGACAAATATTTAGTTGAGTGACTGTCACATTCTAGGCACAGAGGGAATGCAGGCATGGCCTGTGCCCTCATGGAACTTATACGTAGTGGGGGTGACAGACATTAACCCAGTCATCCCACATAAGCATCCTCAGCCAGGACTTGTTTTTGGTGCTGCAAAACAGGGCTTAAGCCTCTCCTTTTTGGGGGAAGGCATGAATTACACCCTTCCATAGGCAAGGAGAAAGTCCTCTCTGATAGTTGAGGACAAGATCAAAAATAAAAAGATTTTCACATGTGGTCAACCATGTGGCTGAACCACACAGTGGCCAGGGGGAGCGTCTGGAAGCTGATTCTGGGGAGGGAAGTTGGAGAGGATTGCAGAGGATCTGATACCCTGTTCTAAAGAATTTGAAGCTTATTTTCTGGCAAATAAAGAAGCAATAAATGGTTTTTAAGTAGGAAAAAGGTAAAAGAAATCAGTATGAAGCGTAGGGTATATTGATTTGTAAAAACCATACCTTGATTAAAGTAAGATCGATCTTATTTCCATACTATGATATAGCCAAGTGAGAGAATAGAAATAAAGGAAATCCAACACCTAGCCTACCAATTTCAAATAAATACTATATTTGTAACCAGGAGGTCCCAGGCCAGGGGTACAGAGGAGATCGCAGTTACCTTTACTGACCAGATCTCAGGGGCTCTGATGATCTGCGTGGGTGCAGAGATCCAGCTCCCCAGGTTCCGCCACTCACGTTATGCGGGCAAGTTTTGGAGCACTCTGAGTGTACCCAATGTCCGCACCTAAGGCTGGCGTCCCGGTGGAGTGAGCTAGCCACCGCCCTGGCTCAGTGCAGCAGGCCCATCTGCTGCTCGGAGGCGGGCACTGCTGTCCACGGAGCTGCGGGAAGCCGTGGAACCGGGAGCAGTGGTCGGCCTTCTCCTGCGCCCGCACCTTTGCGCCATGCGAAGAAGCCCTGCTCACCTCACTGAAACGCCTGCCCACGGGGCCTACCTTCTTTTCTCTAAATCTCCTGCGAAATGAAGAATTTGATCAAGGAATCGATTAGAGTTAACAGGGTTTACCTGAGTGGGAAAGAAGCCCTGGCGGCGCAGTGGTTAAAGGGCTGGGCTGCGAACCAAAAGTTCGGCAATTGGAACCCACCAGACTTGAGGGAGAAGCTGTTCGGAAACAGGAAGGCCCAAGCTCAGAGCGGAGGGGCTTGTTCACGCAGTCCAAGTACGGAGTTTTTGAAGGCACTTAGGGGGTTTCCTGGTTAACTCCACTGTGTAAAACCGAAAGGTTGGTGGTTTGAGCCCACCCACAGGTACCCAAGGAGAAAGGCCCACCCATAGGGATTGCAGTTCTCCGCTGACACACGTGGGGTCTCCATGATTGCCATCTACTCCACGACAAACAACAACGGGATCCAATAGGCATGGAGGAAAAGAGCCAGAAGGGAAAAGCTAGAGATTGGGAGCACCATGATGTTCTCCAAGTGGGCCCAACTTTATCTAAACGAATATGGAATCTAGATACCACAAGGTTAGGGTCTGGGGAGAGAAATCGTTTTAAAGGTCGTTTGCAGGAATAATGAAGTACTGTGTATAGGACAGAAACAAGGAAGTGAGTTGAAAGAATAAACAGGGAGATAAAGGGGCAAAGAGGTAAAGAACATCACAGAGGAAGAAAAATAAATGCAAAGAGATGGGGGAAGTCATGGGGAGAAGGACTCATGGTCAAAGACATCCAGAAATAACTTCATGGCGCAGATGTAGCAATGAGTGGAGGTGGGGTTGGAGGAAGAAAAAGGAGAAGTAGAGAGAGGAGAATGTGGCCTGACCAGGTACTTACATGGTTGGTGCAAACATTCTTTCTCCCAGGGAGCAGTTCTCCTGAACTCTGAACAGCAGAGCTCAGCGTGACTGCGTTCAGGTGAGTGTCCAGGTCACTGTTGATGGTCTGTTGTGACCCTAGTTCTCTTTTTAGTGTCCTGTGGATTTGTAGCTCTACCAGAAGATGAAGTAAGAGAATCAGAAGAAATGCCCAGGCTACTACCTTATGATGGAGAAGGTAATTAGGGTTTAAATTACCTTTTATCTAGTTGGAGCCCTGGTGACGCAGTGGTTAAGTGATATGGCTGCTAACCAAAAGGTCGGCAGTTGGAACCTACTAGCCTCTCCTTGGAAACCTTATGCTGCAGTTCTACTCTGTCCTATAGGTTTACTATGAGTTGGAATTGACTCGGCAGCAGTGAATTTGGTTTTGGTTTTGGGTGACATGAACAGTTGAGCACTAGGCTATTAACCAAAAGGTTGGTGGTTTGGATCAACCCAGAGGCACCTTGGAGGAAAGGCCTGGGAATCTACTTCTGAAAAATCAGCCACTGAAAAACCTATGGAGCACAGATCAACTTTAACATACTTGGGGTCACCATGGGTTGGAATCAATTCGACGACAGCTGTTTTATTATTATTATTATTGTTATCTAATTAAACATTTGTTTTCCTCTCAAGGAACTTTAAGATGCAGGCATACAAACAGCTTTAATCTCTATTTTATAGATGAGAAATAAAGCACAGAAATGTGCACAGGTTATTTTTCACAAGGACAAGGTAGTACAGGCAGAGTGGGCACCAGCTTCTGGTGTGTCTACAGCCAGCAGGGTGGTCAGAGCGAGGTCATGTGTCAGAACACAAGGAGGAAGTCCAAGGAACCGTACAGATTCCCAGAGGAGGAGATCAGGGCCCAACATAAGACTTCTATGAGAAGAAAAAAATAATGTTGGGAGGGAAGGGAAATCACAGAGACAGAGAGCATAGGAATGGACCCGCTTGGGATAGGAGAGATCTAGAAGTAGAGAGCTAGAAAGAATAACAGGAGAACAGAGACAGCAAGTATCTCTAAAGAAGAAAAAGACCAAAGAGCAAGGAGACGGGGCAGTCAGGGAGAGAGAAACCCCACCCATCAAAGCACGCACAGTTCTGGAGGATGAACTACTAGAAGGGCGCTGAGAATTAGAGAGAAGGGCGAGAAGGGCAGGGGGTGCAACAAGGTGGAAAAGAGGCACAACACAACTGTGTGACTCTCAGGGGCAGACACATCCTTCTCCCATCCCGGTTGCGCACCAGCTCGCTGAGGTGTGTTTCTGGGTCACCATCTGTGGTCTGCCATGTTCTTGTTTCTCTACTAAAATCAAACCAAACTCACTGCTGTCGAGTTGACCCCAACTCATAGGGACCCTATAGGACAGAGTGGAACTGCCCCATAGGGTTTCCTAGGCTGTAATCTTTATGGAAGCAGACTGCCACATCTTTCTGCCTCAGAGTGGCTGGTGGGTTCGAACCGCTGACCTTTTGGTTAGCAGCTGAACCCTTAACCACTGTGCCACCATGGCTCTTTGTTTCTCTTCAGTGACCAATAATCCTGAAGCTCCCCAAATGACCAGTGAAGGAGAGTCAGAGGAGGTGCCTGGCCCACTACCATGTGAACAAGAAGGTAATTATGCTAAAAATTCCCAACAATCTCAATAAATCTTTGTTTTCTCATCTGCAAGGAAACCTTTCCCCCCTTTCTCCCATCCTACACTTCTTTCTTTCATGTTTGCATACACCCAGCTAGAACTGTGCCCATTTTTCAAAATGGAGAGAGACAAAGGATAAAGTTGAGCTGAGCTCCAGAGTGGATGAGGTGTCCCTAGTGGGGAATGCAAGGAGACAGAACATGCAAAAGGTAGGACAAAGGAAGAAGCACCTGGGTGATTGAATTAAATGAACATAAAAATATTATCAGATGATGGTGACTGAGGCAAGGGAGAGTTTCTCTATTCGCATGCCTTTCAGGAACTGAACACTTCCAAAATTGAAACATCTTCTTCCCTGAAGCTAGATACTCCTCCTTCTCTAGAGTTTGTTCTCTCAGTAAAGGGAATGTGAGTGCCATAAACCTGGAATTTATCCAAGACTACTTCTTCTCCCTCAACTATTCACCCCACAGTTCTCCAGTTCTGTTCATTCCATATTCAGAATATCTCCCACTTGTCTGTTTCTCTCCAAGCCCCGGCTAGAACTGAATCAAGATCTTCATCTCTACTCACTTGAACTGGAGCAGAAGCCGTCTGTCTCATCTCCTCTTTCCATTCTTGCTTCCATCATACCCATTTTCTCCATTTTACCATGATGGGTGTTTGAGAAATGTAAATTAGATCATGCTGTTTTCCCACTTACCTGGTGACCTTTGTTGTCCTAAGGATTAATCAGTTATATTGCCAGTGGCTCCCAAGGTCACCTACCATGGGTTCCTGTCTGTTTCTTCTGCCTCATTACTAATGGAAGTATAAATATTTTCAGTGATTGCCATGTCTGAGATTTCTTTCAAATGTGGGCCTTTGAACACACTTTCCCTTGTATCTAGTGGTGTTACCTTGTCTCTCTCTGCTCCTCATCCCTTTCCCTGATCTGGTTAAATTATACTATCTTAGAGATGCCCTTTCTGATCACTAGTATGAGAAAAGAAATGAGAAAAGCATGAGTGAGATAAGGAAAATTGATAAAGAGCAGCATCAGGCATGCAAGAGGGAACAGAGGAGACAAAACCGCATCAAGACAAAGAGAAACACTTGGAGACAACTAGAAACAAGGGCAGGGTCAAAAGAAATGTGAAGAAGCAAAAAGAAAGGGGAAGAAGTGGATAATTAAGTGTATTAATGAGGGAATGAGATGGGTGGATGGTTCTTAGTCTCTGGTGATAGTAACAGGAGTCATGTTAGCTTGCAGATCAAGTGAACCCAAAGGGCCAACCAGGATGGTCTGCGACAGGGACAGTCCACCTAGAAGGCACTTGAGCTTCCCAGGTCTTCATTATCAATTTTCCTAACATAATTTTCCCTTGGTCATTTACCAAGACTTCTGAGGCATTTCATTCCTTTCTGCAGAGAGCAAAAATGTGTGTTTGAAAATGTGTGATGGAGAAGAGTCCCAAGAAGCTTCAATCTCATCACCAAGAAATGGGTTGGGTAAGAAGATAAGGATTTCCAGCCTTGAGCTGCAACGGTATTAGGAGGTTGAATCCAGAACTGTTTTTTTTCTGGATGAATTTTCCTCTGTGCAAACTTCACAGTGAAAGGATCCAGGTAATCCCAAGACTTTTTTTCACATTTTCTATACATGGACCTTTGGGGAAGTGCAGAGAGAAATCTTTATCAAGTTCATGTTTAACACAGTGGGTCTTATTGTTTGGACATATTTGTTCACATGTTCATGTTGTAGTAGAAATATATCAGGGAAAGACAATGTCTTCTCTCCTTCATACTCTCCATAGATATTAATACTAAAGATTTGATTTCAACCCATACTCATTCATCATCTTCCATGGAGAATAAGAGCAAAGTATCGTTCCATTGGTTAATAGTTTGATTATTTTGTTGCAAACTTGGAAAGGCCTCAAAAGAAACAAGGTCTTAATATTTTATTTACATGAAGCTTACAGATTGTCCACACTCAACCCAAACTATAGTTTATGACAGCTATTTTCCATCATGTTCTGGAATTATAGAGTCTATTTTCAAAGTATTTTAACAAATAAGATCTTCTGTTACCTCACAAAAGATGGAGGCGGGCAAACTGGGGTAATCTCTACTTTGTAGATGAGGAAGTGAAGGTCAGCTATGTATACAGACTTTTACAAAGTCAAATTGTAGAAGAAGAGCAGGAAGAGTGAGTGTCTGTCTGCAGGTGATGGGTCAGGGCAGGTCACACGGTCCAAGTTCAAGGAGGAGGCCAAAGGAGCCCGGTGATTCCCAAGCATGTGGACCGGAGCTGAGCTAGGATACTTCCTAGGGAAAAGTTATAAAAAGTATCACTGGGGAAGCAGAAGACACAAAAGCAAAGACACAGGAGAGAAAGCCGTCCAGATAGTCAAAAAGATGCCCATACATTCATGGCACAGAAGGAGAAATGAACGGAGACGGTGTGTAGATAGGAAACAAAACAGAAACAATCTGTAGCACATGGGGCAGCCCTCTCTAGTGGGTTTTCAGATCAAGGTGTCCCCAGGTATCAGATTGAATATTTATTTATTGCTTAATGATAATATTATTTAGCCGTAACCTTGGAAAGGCCTCAAAAGAAATGTGGTTCTGAGCGCTCCTTGTCAGAAAGAAAGGTCAGCTGCTCTCAGACCCAGTTAAAGTTGGTGACAGATATTCTTCAGTAGGTTAGTGGATTATACTGTGGTTTGAGGTTTTTTCCAAAGCACTTGGGCAAATACCAAAAAAAAAACCCCAAACCCACTGCCATCAAGTCAATTCTCATGATGACCCCATGTGCTACAGAGTAGAACTGAGTTCTATAGGGTTTTTTTGGCTGTAATCTTCATGCGAGCAGATCCCCAGGCCCCAACCGGGTGGGGTTTGAACCACCAACCTTTCTGTTAGTAGCCAAGTGCAAACCATTCGCATCACTCAGGGTCCTTTTCTCCTTTTACCTTCATAAAACCTTTGCACTTAACCAGGGAAACTGTTGTTATCCCTTTTTATAGATAAGAAAGAAGAAGCACAATAAAAGGATACTTGTATTTCCCTAAGACCAAAGTAGGAAGAAGGTGTCCTGAGCCTCTCCTGCAGATAACGGTTGTGTGAGCCTTGTGGAAAGGTCACAGGCTTCCAGGGGAGTAGACCAGGGGCTGATGCAGAGAGACTTTTTATTTCACAAATGTAGCATGTTGGTAGGGAAGGGAAGAAATCACAGAGAGACGGTGGGATAAAGGTGAGCTGAGAGAAGAAATGGATACTGCTATATGGGATTGGAGAGATCTAGACATGGAGCAGAGAAAAAGAGATCAAGATCACCACTGAGGCAAACAAAGGCTAGAAAAGTGAAGGCAGAGGAGAGGTCAGGGAGAGTGAAGTGCACAAAAACAAAGATGCCCAAATACTTCCCTAGGGCAGACACAGAGATGTCTGGAGGCAGGTCTATAGGTAGGAAACTGACAAGCAGGGAGAAAGGGAGTGAGGTAAACACGATGGAAAAGAGGCAGAACAAACCTCCGGTGAACCTCAGGTCTGGTCCTTGGAGCAGACGTATCTTTTCCCAAGGAGCAGTTCATCGGCACTTTGGAAACCCTGGCTCAGCCCCAGCACGGTGAGTTCTGCTTCCGGGTCGCCCTCCCTGAACTGTCATCTCCTTGTTTCTCTTCAGTGTCCTGTGATCCTGAAGCTCCCCAAATGACTAAGGAAGTACCTGAGGAGGTGCCTGACCTACTGCCAGCTGGGGAAAAAGGCTACTGTGATTTCAGCTCCCTATCAGCTAGTTGAATCTTTGTTTTTCTCTCTTCAGGGAGGAAAATCTCCCCCTTCTTCCCTCATCTAACCCTGCTCCCTTTCGTATGCCCATACAGAGGAAAAGGGTCAATAACAGAGAGAATTAGGTGTGTGGGAAGGGAGTGAGATGGATGGAATGTTCTCAGCCTCTGGTGACAATGACTGGAGCCTTAACCTCTAAGACAGGTGAATCCAAAGGGCCAGGACGTTCCCACCTAGGAGATACTTGAGCCGCCTCTGTCTTCCTGTTTTTCTGAGTGTGGACTTCCCTGCTGTGGTTTCCCTGGATCATACGCTAAAACCTCTAAGAGATTCCATTGTGTTCTGCAGAAGGCGGCAATGCCTGTTTAGAAATGTGTGGTGAAGAAGAACCCCAGGGAGCCTTGAGTTCACCGCCAAGAAGTGAACTTTCCAGCCCTGGGCTGCAGGCAAGTGTCAGGAGGCTGAATTCAGAGCCGTATTCCTGATGGATTTTACTCTGCATGCACTCTGAAATGAAAGGATCCAATTAACCCTCAAATATCCTTCTTCCTAGTTGCCCTGGCCCTTTGAGAAAATGCAGGGAGCCAAGAAACCTGGAGAAACTAGAGGTGTGAAGGCCTTGTTTGTGAAGCGTTTGGCTTATTTCACTCAGCGTGAAGTTTTCAAGGCTTAGCCATGTTGTAGCCTGTACCAGAAGTTCATCTCTCTTTATGGCTGAATAATATTTCATTGTACATATAGACCGTTCACAATTCTGAGCCCTTGTATAATGGTGTAAGTAATCATTGATCAATGGGGATGAGCTTAAAACAGGTTCTGATAGTTACTTACTATTTTCAGAGAACAATGAGTTTTTTTCCTGGATGAAAAGAACTTTTATTTACTCTCAGGGCTACTAGTAGAAAAATGAGAAGGAGAGAAAAAGAAAAGGAGGTGCAGAAGATGGACTAGTACAGCCCTGCTGGATTTCAGGTGTTATTGGAGTAGGTCTACTTTTTCCAAAGAGCACTTCACTTTAGCTCAGACTGTCATGTGCAGTGTGAGAGCTCTGGGGACTCTTCCCTGGTCACTGTCCTGGGGTCCATGGACAGTCATTTTCTTGTTTCTCTACTGTATCCTGTGAACTAGATGCTCCCCAAATGAATAAAGGAGGCTCAGAAGAGCTTACTCCTACCCTGCTACTCTATGATGGACAAGGTAATGAGGACTTAGAAAGTAGTGAAAACAGAAAGAAACAGGCTTTTGATAAAGAGAAAAAGAGAAGAGAGGGGGGAAAAAAGGCAGAGAGACTTAAAGAAAGAGTTGGATATAGGGAGGATCAATGAAAGAAGATTTCAGAGGCTGTTTCAAGAAAAAGGGGACCAATGACGGTGCAGAAGAGCTGATCACTGGTGGGACAAATGAGAAGTGTTCACAGATTGCAATGTTGGCCTGGGAGCAGAGCTCCTGGCATCTGGAGCTGAAAGTGGTTCTGTGTCATGTGTTTCTCAAGAAGGGTTCCAGGTGCCCAGGAAGCAAGGACTGAAAGTAGTCAAGCATCTGATATGATGGGTAAAGGCTGCCCCAGGGTCTTGGATGGGGATGGCTCAGGGAGTTCCACAGACCCAGGGTAGGGCTGTGGAAGGTGGTACAGTCCATCCCAGAATCCTATTCTCCGCATTTGCTTGACCTAACCCTTTTGGGAACTGCAGGGAGGCATTATAAAGTTGAGTTTAACAGAATGGGCCCTCTTGATTATATATGGATGATGTAGTAGAAATATACTCCTAAAAATGGCAGTATCTGTTTACTGTGTTAGCATATTAATAATAAATTCCTGGATTTATACAGTAATTTCCACCCGAGTCACCAAAATCCATGGAGCCTGAGAAAGCTAAGTGCACTTCTACTGGTAGATAATAGCGTCACTTTGTCACAACTGGAGAAAGGCCTCAAGTAACAACAGGCCCTGCTACTTAATTGTCAGGAGGAAAGACTTCAGATCACCTGTCTTAATCTACTGCATATTTTTGATGAGTGTTCTCCAGCATGTCATTGGTTTATCTTATTTAATCTTAAAAAAAACAAGATCTAAACAAGATCACTATTCTTATCCCTGAGGAAAATGGAGTGCATAAGTATTTAAGAGTCTTTTTTCAAAGTCCCATTGGGAAATAAAGGAAGACCCAGTGTCTGTCCTAGACTCTTAGATTCCATAGATTTTTGGTTCCCTTAGAAGAAAGAGAGGAATGATAATCCAAACATCTTTATAAACTCAAGGCTTCTGCAATATGAATTATCTTAAGATTTGTAATATTTTTAAATTACAATTCCTTCACCATCACCTGTTATTTTCTAGATACCGTAGATATTGGAAACAATTCTACTTTGAGAAAACAGAAGGGAAAAACAAGAAAGACTGAATAAAAATTTACTTGATTTTGATGTTACAAATGACGTTTCAAAAAAATATTTTAAAACATTTGTTGGGTAAAATATATACAACAAAATTTGCCTTTTTAACCAATTAATTCAGTGACATTAATTATATTCTCAGTGTTGAATAGCCCTGGTACATGAGGCCGCAGCCAACGGAATAGCCCTGGTACATGAGGCCACGGCCGATGGAATAGCCCTGCTATATGAGGCTCTAAGGACCCAGCTAGAGCAGCACTTGGGGAACAGAAAGGAAGCGGTGGGTGTAGAAAAGTTTGTGAAGGAAAACCTGGCAAGACTTTATAAGGAAAGCAAAAGAGTTCTGAAAGCTGACCGTGGATAACAGAGGTAGCATGGCACAGATTTGGAGAGGGAGGGTATGTTCTGTGAAGACACCTTAAACTTGAGTTGACAGTGGGATATCCAGGTAGAAGTATCTGGAAGGCAGTTGGAAAACTAAACTCAGTCGAAACAAGGACACATCATAGCATTAATCTCTTTTCTCTTTCAGAGGGGATTTCTACCAGACCCATCAACAGCAAGAAAAATGGTGATTATCACATGATCTTCTACCAGTGTCTCATTGATGATATTGTCGATTTTCCATAACTGTAGCCTTATTATAAATTAACCAATTATGATACATCTCCATTTTATAATGTGGTGTTTTTACAGTTGTTGCTTTGGAACAGTACAAGGTATACAAGGCCAGGACTTCTTCCTTGAGCATTAAAACATCTAAGATAGAGGTGGGAACAATCCTTAAAAATAGGTAATGACATAGAACTGACCTTATACGTGTGTTTTATAAAATGATCTGGGTGCCATACTGTCATAACATCCTGTAAAGATGATAGATTTGTTTTTTCTGATTGTTCATGTCCAGTTGTTTCAACACGACTTGTTGAGCAGACTATCCTTTCTCCATTGCATTGCCTTGCTCCATGCCAAAGATCAGTTGACTATATTCTCTGCTCTGTTCTAATGATCTATTTGCCTATTTATTTGCCAATACCACATTCTGTTGATTACTTTCATATTATTTTTGGCTATATTTTCTTTGTTTTTACCTTCTCCAATATTTTGGAAGGCATTGTATCAGCTTTTAAGTCTTTCCCTATTTACCTGTAACTTTTCCAAATGCATTTTTAACTTATTTTTGTAATGTCAGAACCAAAAATATAATGCTATCTTTCATGTACCACATATTTAAGGCAAGGTGTTATTTCTTTTATACCATTCAGCTCCCTAACTCACCCCTGTCTTTTCATGCATAGTATGGATATTCACTATCGTTATTAAATATTTCATCTTTTACTCCATGCAAAATACCTCTTTAAAGTGTTAAAAAGCAGAGATATCACCTTGAAGACTAAGATGCGCCTGACCCAAGCCATGGTATTTCCAATTGCCTCATATGTGTGCGAAAGCTGGAAAATGAATAAGGAAGACTGAAGAAGAATTGACGCATTTGAATTATGGTGTTAGTGAAGAATATTGAATATACCATGAACTGCCAGAAGAACAAATAAATCTATCTTGGAAAAAGTACAGCCAGAATGCTCCTTAGAAGCAAGGATGGCAAGACTTCATCTCACGTACTTTGGACATGTTATCAGGAGGGACCAGTCTCTGGAGAAGGACATCATGCTTGGTAAAGCAGAGGGTCGGTGAGAAAAGAGGAAGACCCTCAATGAGATGGATTGACACAGTGGCTGCAACAATGGGCTCAAACATAGCAACGAGGGTGAGGATGGCGCAGGAGTGGGCGGTATTTCATTCTGTCGTACTTAGGGTCACTATGCGTCAGAACCAACTTAATGGCACCTAATAATGACAACAACGAATTTTTTTTACTCTGTTCAATTATGTTATATAAATATTCAGATATTTATATATGTTATTTTTCACGTTAAATGTCATATAACAATTAAACCAAAAAGAGCAAACCCGTTAAGTCAATTCCGACTCCTAGCGACCCTATAGGACAGAGTAGAACTGCCCCATTGGATTTCCAAGGCCGTAACAATTCCTTATACAACAAAGAGCAAAAATCAAAAAATTTGTGTTATGTGATAACTCATATTTATGAGAATAATATTAATATATTTCTGTTTTCACTGTTCAAAGTCCCCTGCAGGTCCTTTGCCACGACTTCTCTGTGCTTCTTTTTGGCTCCATCTTTCAGTCAACTGAATGAAGTACATCGTTAAGTGATTTTAAAAGAAAAGTACATGGGTGGTATGTTTTTTGCATCTTTCCGTATCTCAGAATGCTTTTCTATTGTTTTCATAAATTAACAACACATTTTGCTCCAAAATATCTTTTATCACCACTTCTCACTTTCGAAATGGATTTAGACTTTGTTCTACGGTCTTTGGGCATTTTGTCCTGCAACTTTGATGTCTGAGTCCAAGGAGAATTCTGTTTACCTGTTAGCGTGTGGATGTTTATGGGCTTCCCTCTCCCTCTTTCCCCCTTTCGCTATGTACGTAGTTATTTTTACTGGGATGGGGCTCAGTGTAGTATTTTTTTCACTGATCGCGCCTGGCACCTGGAGCCTTTTCAATATGCATACCTTGTTCTGCTTTCAACTCCGTTAAAGCTTTCTGATCCATTTGTTCTGGGCCCACTTTCAAGAACATCTATTATCCGTATGCCGGCTCTCTGTTCTCTGTCTTCACTATTTGTCATTGAAAAAAAAAAAGTTCCAGAAAGCACTCCTCCTCTTAGGCCATTAGTATGAGACATAAATAAATAAACTCAAAACGTTTGCAACTGGATGGTCAGTTTTTCTAACCTAATGATTTTTAGTATTTCAATAATGCTCATTGCTATTTATTACCGAAGCTCAAAGTATGTGAGCTTTTCCTAATGTGATACTTTTCTTTTCTCAAGACAAAAATAGAAAATCATGGCAACTTACTAAGTTGTCCTGACCTGTCTTCCTGGGTCTTCATTCTCGTTTGGTGC